AGACCCCCCAACCGCGCTTCCCCCCCCCCCCCCCCCCCGTCAGTAAAAACTCACTGCCCCTTCCTCGGTGTCTGCTGTTGGGTCTTCACAACCACAAGGCGGTGTCTGGGACGCATTCGTGCTTTCCCGAAATGTCCTTTCACCCCCTCCGCACCCATGGGCGTGCATGCGCGTGTATCCTTCCCCCCCCCCGTCCCCGTTCTTCCCCCCCAGACTGTAGCATGTATCTCTGTCCGTGTGTCTGTCCCTGCAGATCGACTCCTGTCTCTCCGTACCAGTGTTTCCAGTGCCGACAGACCCGGGATCTGCTATCTCCTCTTTGTGACCAGGGGTGGGGGGAACAGCCCCATTGTCTAAAAAAACCCACACTGAACCCGTGCCGTGTGTCCCGTCCCGTCCCCCCCACCGATGTCTAGTAGGGCAGATCCAAGCGGAGGGTCCGGCGTGGTCCCGACCACGTCTTCAGTGCGAGTTCTGCTGCCTGTTAGCCGCGCCCCCGGCAGGGTCTCTGAACTGGCATTACACGAAACAGCTGCTTCTCCCATCTCGATGAATGGCCTGTTCGCCGGGTTGTTGACTTTTGTTATTCGCTCTGTAATAAACGTTCAGATTTTACTGTCCGTTCTGTAGCTTTTTGCGTTAAAATGAATTAATCCCCCCCCCCCGGATATTTTGGAACGCTTCGGGGCTTTCTTTGTAGGCATGAGATCTGTTGGGGGGGAGGGCTGTGGCTCGGCGGCAGAACGTCTGCTTGGCACACGGAAGGTCCCCAGGTGCAGACCCCGGCATCTCAAACTAAAAGGACCAGGCAGGAGGGGATTTGGAAGACCTCTTACCGAGACCCTGGAGAGCCAGCAATAAGAAGGCAAGAACATTGGACGAGCCCTGCTGGATCAGGCCAGTGGTTCATCTAGTCCAGCATCTTGTCTCACATGGTGGTCAACTAGTTCCTCTGGAAGTTCAACTTCAGGGCATAGAGGCTGAGGCCTTCCCTTGATAAGAAGAGCCTTGCTGGATCAGACCAGGGGTCCACCTAGTCCAGCCTCCCGTCTCACACAGGGGCCAACCAGTTCCTCTGGAGGGCCAACAACAGGGCATAGAGGCCGAGGCCTTCATAAGAACCTCAGGAGAGCCCTGCTGGATCAGACCAGTGGTCCATCCAGTCCAGCATCCTGTCTCACGCAGTGGCCAGCCAGTTCCTCTGGAGGGCCAACAACAGGGCCATAGGGGCTGAGGCATTCACCTGATGTCATCTCCTGACACTGGGATTTGGAGGTTGACTGCCTCTGAATATGGAGGTTCCTCTTAGTCACTTGTAGCCGCTGCCACCTCCTGTGGCAGTGAATTCCATGGGTTAATCACTCTTTGGGTGAAGAAGGACTTCCTTTATTCTAACCCGACTGCTTAGCATGTTCCGTGCGCCTGAATCACCACCCAGTGGCCTTTCCAACGTGAAGAGGCAGCTCTTCATGTCACGCTAAGAAAATCTGCCTGCTATAGGGACATAAGAGAAGCCATCCAGTCCAACACACTCTGGGTCACACAGGGGCCAAAACCCAGGAGCCTTCAGGAGGTCCACGAGTGGGGCCAGAACTAAAGTTCCCACAGAACTCCCACTGTGCCCCCCCAAGCACCAAGAATACCGAGCATCACTGCCCCAGACAGAGGGTGCGTTCAGACGGGGCACTTACAACGGTATAGGTGCCGGTTGGAATCGGTGTACTTACCGGCGTTCACATGGCGAACATCTGCCTTCCGTCCCTAACCGTTCCAAAGAGCTTTAAACGGTTGTATTCTGCCACTAGGTCCCCAAGTGGTGGTATCCTGAGTGCAACGGTTGTAACCGCTTTACCCCCGTCTGATCGTTCTCCATCGTTGTAGAGCCACTTCCGTTCGGAAGCCTGAGGCTTCCGATTTTCGCCCGCCATTTTTTTTTAGGTCAGCGATATGCGCTTGGGCGAAGCCGCCCCAGCGTTTGTTAAAAAAGAAAAGGTCCTTAGTTTAAGGTTTTAGAGGAGTCCAGGACCTCAGGGAGGCCAGTTTGCTCTTTAAACTTTAAAGGTAAGTCCTCTCTTCAGGGCATGCTTTTCAGGACAGGGTGTTTTGCGCATGCACGAAGATCGCCATTCTGTGGATGGCTGTCTATGCGCAAACTAAGTTTAAAAAAAAACAACCGCCGATGCCCGCTGTGTGTGAACGGGCATACAGCGATGGGCTCCGCAGACAGGAGGTAAGTGTGATCGTGTTTCAGCCGGCATAAACTGCAACCGTTCCAACCAGTACAGTTTATGCCGGCTGAAACGCCCCATCTGAACGCACCCAGAGTGTTCTATATATTGTGGCTGATAGCCAGTGATGGACCTCTGCTCCCTATGTTTATCCAGACCAGTGGTCCATCTAATGCAGCATCCTATCTCTGGATGGCCAACAACAGGGCATAGAGGCCAAGGCCTTCCCCTGATGTTGCCTCCCAACTCTGGGATTCGGAGGTTTAGTGCCTCTGAATGTGTAGGTTCCCCTCAGTCTCCATGGCTAGTAGCCACTGATAGACTTGTTCTCCAAGAATTTGCCTAATCCCCCTTTGAAGATGTTTATTCCTGTGGCCATCACTCCATCCCCTGGCAGCGAATTTCCTCATTGCCTTTTAGGGTGTTCTAGCAAACTCACCAGACATTAAATCTGTCCAATCCTCTTTTAATCCCTGCCCAACCCCTCTCCAATCCTCTTTCTAGGGAGGGGATGTGGCTCAGTAGTAGAGTTTCCCATTGGCATGCAGAAGGTCCCAGGTTCAAGCCCCATCATCTCCAGTTGAAAGGACCAGGTAGGAGGTGATGTGAAAGACCTCAGCCTGAGACCCTGGAGAGCTGTAAAGAGGGGCCCTGGCTCAGTAGCAGAGCCTCTGCCTGGCATGCAGGAGGTCCCAGGTTCAATCCCCAGCTTCTCCAGTTAAAAGGGCCAGGCAGGAGGTGATGGGAAAGACCTCAGCCTGAGACCCTGGAGAGCTGTAAAGAGGGGCCCTGGCTCAGTAGCAGAGCCTCTGCCTGGCATGCAGGAGGTCCCAGGTTCAATCCCCAGCTTCTCCAGTTAAAAGGGCCAGGCAGGAGGTGATGGGAAAGACCTCAGCCTGAGACCCTGGAGAGCTGTAAAGAGGGGCCCTGGCTCAGTAGCAGAGCCTCTGCCTGGCATGCAGGAGGTCCCAGGTTCAATCCCCAGCTTCTCCAGTTAAAAGGGCCAGGCAGGAGGTGATGGGAAAGACCTCAGCCTGAGACCCTGGAGAGCTGTAAAGAGGGGCCCTGGCTCAGTAGCAGAGCCTCTGCCTGGCATGCAGGAGGTCCCAGGTTCAATCCCCAGCTTCTCCAGTTAAAAGGGCCAGGCAGGAGGTGATGGGAAAGACCTCAGCCTGAGACCCTGGAGAGCAGCTGCCAGTCTGAGTAGACAATACTGACCTTAATGGACGGTCAGATTCAATATAAGGCAGCTTCATGTCTGTAAAAAAACCACGTACGCTTGTGGCCATCATTATATCTCCAAGAAGAAGAGATTGGAATTATACCCCGCCCTTCACTTGGAGTCTCAGAGTGGCTTACAAACTCCCTTCCCCTCCCCACAACAGACACCCAGTGAGGTCGGTGGGGCTGAGAGAGCTCTGACAGAAACTGCCCTTTTTCAAGGACAGATCTTATCAGAACTACAGCTTGCCCAAGGTCATCCAGCAGCTGCGAGTGGAGGCGTGGGGAATCAAACCCGGTTCTCCCAGATTAGAGTCTGCGCACTTAACCACTACACCAAACTGGCTCTCCTATGCAAACCACCAAAGAAATGCTGTACAAATAAAGTATTAGACAACAAATTGTGTCCTTAAAATGAATTAGTATTTTTTTATAGTCCTTTTCCACAGACGTTATTAACCACCCCCTCTTTGTCTCGAAACACAGTCACAAAATAAAGCAGCCACGGATCGCCTGGGTTGCCGTCCATTTCCTCTGACTTCTTCAGGCCATGTAGTGGCAATCCCCTTTCACATTCTGCAGCTACTGAGGTTTCGCTGCATATATCGACTGCATATATTGTAGGGTGGATACGGTGACATAAGTGAATATATTGACAGCATTGTTTCTTCTCATACCTTTGCCAAAAGAGCCAATTACTAGCTTTTAAACCAATGACCAGTGTTCCCTCTAAGCTGAGTTAGTGTGAGCTACCTCACCGTTTTTAGCCTCCGGCTCACACATTTTTGTCTTAGCTCAGGAAGGATGGGGCTCCAGAGCAAACTAATTGATGCAGTAGCCAAATCGCCCGTTCACAACTTTAATGCCAGCAGCTCACAAAGTAGAATTTTTGCTCACAAGACGCCGCAGTTTAGAGGGAGCATTGCTCCAGAGCAAACTGATTTATGCAGTAGCCAAATTGCTCGCTCACAACTTTAATGCCAGCAGCTCAGAAAGCAGAATTTTTGCTCACAAGACTCCACAGCTTAGAGGGAGCATTGCTCCAGAGCAAACTAATTTATGCAGCAGCCGAATCGCTCGCTCACAACTTCAATGCCAGTAGCTCACAAAGTAGAATGTTTGCTCACAAGACGCCTCAGCTTAGAGGGAGCATTGCCAATGACTATTGCACAGTAAATGAGTAGACCTAGTGGAGGAGGGCCTTCAACACTAGTGGCGGGAAGGCAGAAGCTAGGGTTGCCAACCCCAGTTTGAGAGGTTCCTGGAGAATTTGGGGGTGTGGCCCAGGGAAGCAGGATTTGGGGAGGGGCCTTGGCGGGGTATAATTCCACAGAGCCCACCCTCCAAAGGTGCCATTTCCTCCAGGGGAACTGATCTCTCTCGTCTGGGGGCTCGGTTGCAATTCCGGGAGATCTCCTGGACCCACCTGGAGGTTGGCAACCATGGCTGAGTTGCAGATCTGTGGTCTGCAAACTGGGGTAATGGAAACATGTCGCAATTCGTATCCGTGAAGTGCCGGGAGGGACGGGAACAGCACATGGGCGCCACGTGCCTGTTGGGAACTGGCAGCAGGTTCCCTCCTTCCCCCTCCATCCCGTCCGCTTCCTAGGAATGGCGGTCTTCTTGCGGCCTGGGAGGCCGGAGTTCGTCAGTGTTCAACAGGCGTGTCCTGGTCTTCCGCTTGCCTGCTGGGTCGGAGACAGACCGATCTCCGGTCTGACTCAGTGGCTGCCGATCTCTGTCTTGCTCTCTGGAGGGGTAACCGGACCGTACGCCGGTCTGTCGTCCGCCCTCCGGTAATACATCCTCGTCAGCACCGTCATCAAAAAGGTCTCGATGATCAACACCTGCACGTTCATCTCTGCGCAAAATGACGGGGGGAGAAGGAAATGGATTTAGTTGGAACCTCCTCTAGGGGGAACAGTTAGTGCTTCTATTTCTGCAGCCCCTGACCATGCCCACCATCGTTTCCTGAATCCCCCTTCGCCACCAGCCGGGTCTAAGCCAAGCTACTGCCCTTGGGTTTGGCTCGCTTCCGCTGGCGTGCAGCATGGGAGGAAGCGACGGGCACACTTTATTCGGGGAGACGAATCACATAAGAACATAAGAGAGAAGCCAGTGTTGGGTCAGGCCAATGGCCCATCCAGTCCAACACTCAGTCACACAGTGGCCAAAAATACCAGGTACCATCGGGAGGTCCAGCAGTGGGGCCAGGACACCAGAAGCCCTCCCACTGTTGCCCCCCCCCAAGCACCAAGAATACAGAGCATCCCTTGCCCCAGAGTCCCTATCTATCCCTTGTGGCTAATAGCTACTGATGGACCTCTGCTCCATATGAAGAAGAAGAAGAAGAGATTGGAATTATCCCCCGCCCTTCAATACCCAAAGGTGTCTCAGAGCGGCTTACAAACTCCTTTCCCTTCCCCTCCCCACAACAGACACCCTGTGAGGTAGGTGGGGCTGAGAGAGCTCTGGACAGAAACGGCTCTTTTTCAAGGACAGCTCTTATTAGAACTACGACTTGCCCAAGGTCATCCAGCCAGGTGCAAGTGGAGGAGTGGGGAATCAAACCCGGTTCTCCCAGATTAGAGTCCCTGCACTTAACCACTACACCAAACTGGCTCTCACACCAAATATGCTTATCCAATTACCTCTTGAAGCGGTCCATGCTTGTAGCTGCCACCACCTCCTGTGGCAGTGAATTCCATGTGTTGATCACTCTTTGGGTGAAGAAGGACTTCCTTTTATCCGTTCTAACCCGACGGCTCAGCAATTTCATGGAGTGCCCACGAGTTCTTTCTCAACCTGCTCTATCCCCGGCATAATCTTGTAAACCTCGATCATGTCACCCCCATCGGCCGTCGTTTCTCCAAGCTAAAGAGCCCCAAGCACTCTAACCTTTCCTCATAGGGAAAGTGTTCCAACCCTTTTATCATTCTGGTTGCCCCTTTCTGCACTTTTTCCAATGCTATATCCTTTTTGAGGTGTGGTGACCAGAACTTGCGCAAGCCTTGTTGGCCGGGCGCAGGTACTTTGCAGAACAGACGCTCTCTGCCTGCCTGCGTCCCCACATGCTTTCTCTCCACTGTTCCAAGAATCACTCATATATGACTGGGACTGGGACTGGGACTTAACGGCTACATGGATTGTCTCCCTCCAGCCCACTCCTCCACACACAGCTGCTGGCGTGACCTTGGGTCAGTCACAGTTCTCTCAGAGCTGTTCTGGAAAGAGCAGTCGTCGAGAGAGCTCTCTCGGCCCCACCTAGCTCACAGGGTGTCTGTTGTGGGGAGGGGAAGGGAAAGGAGATTGTGAGCCGCTCTGAGACTCCTTCAGGTAGTGATGGGCGGGGTATAGATCCAACCTTGTCTTCTCTCTCTCCTTCTCTCCTGTGTCTAACCCAAGTTTTCACACAGATGCCTTTTCTGGGGCCTGTCAAGTGTTTTTTAGAAAGCGGGTGTCGCTTTTGCCCAGAAAGGTTATTGGAGATTCGATTGATTCCACAGATTTTTAGAAACGTCGCTTTGGCGGCAGCTCCCACCACAGCACAAGTATTTTCGCGGTCTGACAGAAAGTAAGTTGCGGCAGCCATTTTGTGGCTGGCTACACCTCCTGTGGCAGCCATTTTGTGGCTGCGCCCACCACAGGTTCCCACTGGCTGAAGAGGAAGAGGAGGAGATTGGATTTATACCCCGCCCTTCACTCAGAGTCTCAGAGCGGTAGGGTTACCGGGTCCCTCGGGAGGCCGGATGTTCCCCTGCTCAAAGGGCCCCCAATCCGCCAAACCCTAAAGTGCCCAGTTCGGGCCGACATGCCTGGCACCATGACGTCACCCAGAGGTGACATCATCATGCCTGGCACATTGCCGGCTGACGCTCTAGCAATCAGCCTGGAAACTCTATGGTACCATAGAGTTTTCAGGTTGATTGCTAGAGTGTCAGCTGGCGACATGCCAACGTGATGACGTCACTTCCTGGTGACGTCATCACGGCTTATAAACTCCCTTCTCCCCCCCCCACAACAGACACCCTGTGAAGTAGGTGGGGCTGAGAGAGCTCTCTCGAGAACTGCCCTTGAGAGAACAGCTCTGATAGAACTATGGTTTGCCCAAGGTCATCCAGCAGCTGCAAGTGTAGGAGTGGGGAATCAAACCCGGTTCTCCCAGATTAGAGTCCACACACTTAACCACTACGCTAAACCACTACACCAAACCCCTGGTCTAACCCCACAAGGATGAAGACTCACGCTGCGACCTCGCTTTGGAGGAGAAGGGTGGGGAGCAGGCGATCTGGCCCCCGTTTGCCAGGATACTGAAAATGGAGGGCTGCAGCGCCGTCAGGATGAGGAGAACCTGGAATTCAGAAGCACAGAAGAGTGTGGGAGGCTCAGTTTTCAGGGGCCCCGGGGGGGGGGGGGAGAAACCACTTGGGTTCTGTCCACACTGAGGACTGCTACTCCATGGTCCACGGGAAAGGGAGGGGCTGTACCAGGTAGTCATGTCCCTGCTGAGCACAGAGATAGGATAGAGTAGGGGAGCCGCATAACCAGGAAAGGAAGTGCAATCAGGCAGAAATGTGGCCCTTCCATAGAGCATCTTGGAATCTTTTGTATTAACAGCAGTGTCCCCTCTGAGTGAGTGTGAGCTAGCTCACAGTTGTTTAGCCTCTGGCTTTTGGTTCCCAAGTCGGATCGGCGCTTGAGTGGGGGACTCCAGCGCTGCTTCAGGAGTGCGCGCACGTGCACCGCAACTCCGTCACCCGGAAGTGACGCCACCACGCCGGGCGCGCTGGGGGCGGGGCCACGACCATGCGAGGGAAAGCCATAGAGTTTTCCCTCGGATGACTGTGGCCCCTCCCCCAGCGTGCCTGGCGTGGTCGCGTCACTTCCGGGTGACGTGCACGTCGCATGCTTTGGGGGTGGGATTACCCCTGGGGCCCGATCCGCAGGCGACGGGAAACGGGTCTCTGGGGCGGGGGTTTCCCCGCCCCCCAGGGGGACTTGGCAAGCCTACTCTGGCTCCCACATTTTTGTCTTCGCTCAGGCAGGATGGCTCCTGAGGAATGCTCCCTCTAAGCTGTGGAGTCTTTTGAGCAGAAATCCTACCTTGTGAGCTACTGGCATTAAACGTTGTGAGCGAGCGATTTGGCTGCTTCATATATTAGTTTGCTCTGGAGCCCATCCTCCCCAAGCTGAGACAAAAATCCGTGAGCTGGAGGCTAAAAAACTGTGAGCTGGCTCACACTGACTCAGCTTAGAGAGAACACTGCAAGTCCAGAGCAAACTGATTTATGCAGTAGCCAGATCGCTCGCTCACAACTTTAAGGCCAGTAGATCGCAAGGTAGGATTTTTCGCTCACAGGACTCCACCGCTTAGAGGGCGCATTGAACAGCATTGTCTAAGAAGATGTTAAATCGACAGCCTCACAGAGTTTAGGGTTGCCAGGTCCCCCCGGCTACCAGCTGGGGGTGGGGGCATAGATTCAGAGTGAGGAACCCCTGGAAATTGGGGGAGGACGGGGACCTCAGTGGGGTACAATGTCAAAAATCGCCTGACTCTCCCTGCCCCAAAAGACGCCATGAGGGCGAGGGCCTTTTCAATGGCGGCTCCACACTGGTGGAATGAGCTCCCGGAAGACATCAGGGCCCTGCGGGACCTCTTACAGTTCCGCAGGGCCTGTAAAATGGAGCTCTTCTGCCAGGCCTTCGACGAGGAGCCGCCGCTGGAGCCACCGGAAAGTGAATATACTGCAGCCCTACGTTACAGCCAGGGCCGGCCCCAGCTTATTTTGCATCCTAGGCGAGGATCCCTTCTGACGACGCCCCCCCACCCCCGGTGTGCCCACCAATTTTCAAAAATAAATACTTTTTAGGAAGAATGAAAAACACAAATAATCAAGAAACTCCCAGAGTATGGGGCTGGGTTCAGTTTGGCGCCCCTAAGGGCCGTCCTGCTCTAGGCGACCACCTAGTTCGCCTAGTGAGTGAGCCGGCCCTGGTTACAGCGTTGGTGCATAGCCTCCTTGCTTCAGACCATATACTCCACTGCCACCATCTGTACCTGTTATTCCATATGTAAATTGCTGCTTTTGTGAATTTTGTCAGTTTTAATGTGTTTATTGGTTCACCTGGAGATAACGGCTGCTTTGGAAGGTGGACTCTATGGCACTGTGCCCCAATGAACACCCTCCCCTCCCCAAACCTGCCCTCTTGAGGCTCTACATGACTGCCAGAATGATATATGCGCAAAGTTGGAAACAGGAGGAAGTTCCTGGAATTGGAGAATGGATTAAAAAACTACTTTTCATGGTTGAAATGGATAAGATGACAAGGAAATTGAATAATATGGCAGCAGAAGACTTTTTTGAAAACTGGAAAGATTTAAAAGACTACTTTGAAAAATATTGGAATGTGAGAGACAATTTATTTTGCTTTGATAACTATTGAGTATAGAAAATTGAAAAAACAAGTTACGTGTTGAATATGTAGAGATAACGAGGAGTACTTAAGAGTAACCTAAGGATTATGCAGGAGGTTGTAGCACTGTGGGAAGCCATACATAGGGGGGAAAGCCGCCCCCCAGTCCCCAATAGCTAGCAATCCAAAACAGTCCAGTGGCGCCTTTAAGACCAAGTTTTGTTCAGGTACAAGCTCTCCCTCCTCTGTGAGGACAGATCTGCGCGTTTCCCCCCCCAATCGCTAGCAATCCAAAACAGTCCAGTGGAGCCTGAGCGGTGGGTGTTGCCTTCTGACACACTTCCGGTGATGTCAGGGGGTGTGGCATATGCAAATGAGCTATGCTAATGAGCTCCTGCACCTCTTTTTCTATGAAATAACCCCTGATTTTGAGCCAGTGAAGAGGCAATTACCTGGAAGCAAGCGAACTTCCCCACCATGTTCTGTTCCGCAAGGTGTCCCTTGGCTTGCCGGAAGAGGACCGCCAATCCCCACAGACCAAAGAGGGTGGATACCCCCAGGCAAGTGTTTATCCACAGAGCCACGCTCCCGGCTGAAATCTGGTTGCAAAAGACAAAACAACGGGGTTGCAGTCGAAAAGAGCAAGAATCCAGGCGCACCTTCAAGACTAAAAGGAACCTCCATATCTAGAAGCAGTCAGCCTCCGAATTCCAGTGCCAGGAGGCAACGTCAGGGGAAGGCCTCAGCCTCTCTGCCCTGTTGTTGGCCCTCCAGAGGAACTGGTTGGCCTCTATGTGAGGCAGGATGCTGGACTGGATGGACCACTGGTCTGATCTGACCCAGCAGGGCTCTTCTGATGTTCTCATGAAGGCCTCAGCCTCTCTGCCCTGTTGTTGGCCCTCCAGAGGAACTGGTTGGCCCCTGTGTGAGACGGGATGCTGGGCTAGAGGGACCCTCTTTGGTCTGAGAGGGAGGGCAAGAAGGGTTGCCTCAGTGCTTAGTTCTCGTGGCCCTTTCTGACACGCCCAGGGAAATGCTAGTCACCACTTTGGGGTCAGGATTTCTCCAGGCCAGTTTGGCCAGGGATCCTGGAGGTTTTTTGTCATCTTCTGGGCGTGGAACAGCAGTCACGGTGGTGGGGGGGGAGGTGTTTGTGTATTTCCTGCATTGTACAGGGAGTTGGACTAGATGACCCTGGAGGTCCCTTCCAACTCTATGATTCTGTGATTCCAGGCAACAGAGATCGGTTCACCTGGAGATAACGGCTGCTTTGGAAGGCGGACTCTATGGCACTGTGCCCCAATGAAGTGCCCTCTTGAGGCTTTACCCCGCCCCCGACCTCCAGATGTTTCCCAACCAGTGTTCCCTCTAAGCTGAGTTAGTGTGAGCTAGCTCACAGTTTTTTAGCCTCCGGCTCATGCATTTTTGTCTTAGCTCAGGAAGGACGGCTCCAGGGCTCCCTCTAAGCTGAGTTAGTGTGAGCTAGCTCACAGTTTCTTAGCCTCCGGCTCATGCATTTTTGTCTTAGCTCAGGAAGGACAGCTCCAGGGCTCCCTCTAAGCTGAGATGGTGTGAGCTAGCTCACAGTTTTTTAGCCTCTGGCTCATGCATTTTTGTCTTAGCTCAGGAAGGACAGCTCCAGTGTTCCCTCTAAGCTGAGTTAGTGTGAGCTAGCTCACAGTTTTTTAGCCTCCGGCTCACGCATTTTTGTCTTAGCTCAGGAAGGACAGCTCCAGGGCTCCCTCTAAGCTGAGTTGGTGTGAGCTAGCTCACAGTTTTTTAGCCTCCGGCTCACGCATTGTTGTCTCCGCTCAGGAAGGGATGGCTCCAGAGCAAACTAATTTATGCAGGAGCCAGATCCCTCGCTCACAACTTTAATGCCAGTTGCTCACAAAGGAGAATTTTTGCTCACAAGACTCCAGAGCTTAGAGGGAACACTGGACAGCTCCAAACTGATTTATGCAGTAGCCAAATCGCTTGCTCACAACTTTAATGCCAGTGGCTCATGAAGTAGAATTTTTGCTCACAAGACTCCACAGCTTAGAGGAAACACTATCCTCATAACAGTCTGGAGAAGTAGATTAAGTTGAAAGAATGAGCAGCCCAGATCTTCTTCTGAGAGTCAGTGCTGTGCAGAGATTTGAACCCGGGACTCCCGGCACTCCGAGGAGAGTACCCTTTGCATCTCCTTGAGAGGAAGAATTGGCTGCCCTCACTTACATCGGAGGGGTCGTAGAGATCTTCTGTGCTGAGGACCAACCCGAGGAAGACGCCGGCTGCCTTGAAGAAGGCGTACTGGAAAGTACTCAGCATCATGATCTTCAGTTTGCGCCTGCAAAAGGGGGGGAAAGGCAGCTGGGGCTTGATCCGAGGGGAAGCCGCCCCCTGTCCCCACCCCCGTCCCGGCTGAACATCCAGGAACTATTCTGGAAAGGGTTCCCAACCTCCAGGCGGTGTAATTCTGGGAAAGCTCCAGGTCCCACCTGGAGGTTGGTGACCCTGGGTGTAAAGGGTGTTGTGCGCTGGGAAAACAGGCAGGCAGACCACACTGTTACAAAGGACGATCGGGGGCCTGGAGACCAAAAGGCCCTGTGAGGAAAGGCCGAGGGACTTGGGAATGTTCAGTCTGGAGAAGAGGAGGCAGAGCGGGGACAGGATGGCTCTCTTGGAAGTATTTGAAGAAAAAGCCCAACAGGAACTCATTAGCATAATAGGCCACACCCAACACCAAAAATCCATTTGCATATTAGGCCACACCCCTGACAGCACAGCTGACACAGCCCTCATTACCAGAAGTGTGGTCATCCAGCCACACCCACCTTTTGCTTCTTATTCTGTTTACCTTGTTTGTTGTCCAAACCCAGGGCCTTTTTTTGTAGCAGGAACTCCTTTGCATGTTAGGCCACACACCCCTAATGTAGCCAATCCTAATGGGTTTCTGCTGTTGGGTGTGGCCTGTTATGCTAATGAGTTCCTGCTGGGCGTGGCCAACTCGGGACCCAGCTGGAACTCCGTTCCTGTGCGTTCCAGCCCAAAAATAGCCCTGGAAGGGCTGTGTCACTTAGAGGAGGGCAGGGAGCCATTCCTGTTGGCAGTAGAGGAGAGGACTCGCAAGAATGGGTTTAAATTAAGGGCGGGAAGGGACCGGCTGGACCTTAGGAAAAAGCTTTTTACAGTCAGAGTTGTGCATCAGTGGAATCGGCTGCCCGGGGAGGTGGTGAGCTCCCCCTCGCTGGCAGTCTAGAAGCAGCGGCTGGACAAACGCTTGTCAGGGATGCTCTAGGCTGGTCCTGCATTGAGCAGCGGGCTGGACACTAGATGGCCCGTATGGCCCTTTCCGACTTTATGATTCTTACTGATGGTCACCATCATGCCCGTGGGCACCAGGGGTCATTTCCTACAGGAGCGCACAAGAGCAGAGCTCCGGCAGTAAAGAGCCCAGGGGGCGGGCACATGCAACGAGCCCCGCCCCCTGCTCCCAGCAGTCCTGGGCCACGAGGAGCCAGAAGCAGCCAGGTAAGTTGCAGAGCCCCATCCGCACCAAGGTGCAGAGCCCAGGGAAGGCCAACGGAGCCCCTCCGCCCACCTTTCCCGGCACCTGGCTGGCGCGGGGTGGCGGCGGCGGGGGCTCGATTG